GTGATCGTCGTCGTCATCGTTGTGGAGGTTGTGGTAGGGGTGATAGGAATGGCAGTGATCGACGGCGGCGGGGCACGGTTGTGCTGAGCACCGGTGGTGAGGATGGACGCCTTGGGAGATGGAACAGGGGCAGCAGCTGAAGTTGTCGGACTGTTGGTGAATTGGCTCCGGGGATGTCCGACGGGGTCGATCCGCTCATTAGTTTAGGGCGTATTTGATACAGGTGGCCATAGGACAAACATACCATAGAATGGTCACCTCCAGAGCTTTTGCCCGATTGCCTGGAGTCAAAAGTAGGCCAGTCTTCCTCTCATTTGTCTGTGACCTTTTCGATGCCCAATTAGTCATCTTCCGGAGGGCGTCTGGCATGGTACGTAATATAGGGGTGTAGGGGGTTGTTTGGTGAGGGCTGTGTAGGAGCGCCAGGTCGCTCCATGAGTCTAGTGTACGTGGTAGTTGCTTCACACAGCCCCCAACTGGCACCCATCTGTCATCCGTGGTTCGTCGAAAATTGGCCCTGCCTAGTAACCCAATCCCGGTAACCTCGAATGGTGGGCTGAAACAGGTAGAAGTATTCGGCAGGCGGGTGTGTGCCTTGTGTGTGCACGTGCGCGTGTGTGCGCATGTACTACGTCCTGTGGGGTGTAGGGGTGTCAGCGGTGGGTTCACGTGAAGGTCGTAGTGGTCGCTCACTTGCTTGCAGGTGAGACTACGCCTAGCGTCCACTTGCTGGCACTCAACTCTCACCTGTGGCTCCACGTAGCTGGGCTCTGCTCAGCGGCCACACCCCGGGCAACCGTCTCGACCGGCGGGCTAAACCAGGTGAGGGCGGTTACTCCCTATGCGCGTTGTGCCGCGTGCACAGGTGACTGCGGACTCCGTGGACGGTTGGTCGGATGGAACACCGCGTCGGCGCCGTCGTGACGAGGCTCTGTCTGACACACCGCTGGTCAGCCGGTTGGTGGTGGAACGTCGCATCGGCATCGTCTAGACGAGGCTCCGCCTGGTACGCCGTTGATCAGCCGGTGGAATGGATCTCCGAATTGGCACCGTTTACACGCGCCCATCTGGTGCACCGTAGGAGACCGCAGGCTTTCGGCAATGCCGTAAGCCATTGGCAAATTCGAGTCGTTCTTCCACTGCCAAAAAAACTCGTGGCCCACAGTGGAGTTCGGCCGCGCCAGCACATCAAGCAGCCCCTATTCAGGGGTCAGGGCACTGCTTCCTTCGGGGGGGCCTGGAAAAGCTGGCCTAAAAATTGCTGGGGAACCACGTCGTCTGCCGGCGCACCGTGGTCGCAGACGCAAAACTCACGGTCGAAACAATCAAACTCGAAACAACAACAACAACCATACTCATTCTCCTCATCCTACCTCTTCTACCTCTACCTCCGTCTATTCTTCTCCTTCGTCATCTTCTTCTCCACCTCCTTCCCATCGCCCCACTCGTTTTCCCCAGACTGACAGGGCGAGCCCGCTCACTCTGGCAGCCTGGAATGTTCGTTCCCTTGTAGACAATCCGAGGAGCAACCGACCGGAACGGAGGACGGCGCTAGTGGCACGAGAACTGGCGCGCTACAAGGTGGACATCGCCGCACTCAGCGAGACCCGATTCTCCGAACAAGGCCAACTGGAGGAGGTGGGTGCCGGCTACACCTTCTTCTGGAGTGGTCGACCCAGGGCAGGGCGACGAGACGCGGGCGTCGCCTTCGCCATCCGGACCGACATCGTGGGACGACTGCCCTGTTTGCCGCAGGGCATCAACGATCGCCTGATGAGCCTCCGCCTGCCTCTCTGGGGAGGCAAATTCGCCACCATCATCAGCGCCTACGCTCCGACGATGACCAACCCCGACGCCGTCAGAGACAAATTCTACGAGGACCTGCACGCCCTCTTGGCGACTGTGTCGAAGGCGGACAAGTTGATTGTCCTTGGTGCCTTAACGCCCGCGTCGACACAGACCATACTTTGCCAATAGAAGCGAAGAGCCTAGTCCCAGGAAGTAGTCTTGAAGAAGGAGACACAATCGCCGGGACAAGAGCTTTATTAGCCTGACGTTTCGGATTCCTACTCGAATCCATCATCAGAGACAAAAGAGCAGAAACGGGTGGTTGCTGCACAAGGGGCTGCGGTATTTATAGGATGTAGCAGCCATGCCACCGCATGCCTATGAACGTTCACGGCTTCCCCCTTCATCCGGGATTGTCACACTTGGGGTGATCATTGCTTGATGGCCGACATTCGA